ACGAAATGGAAACTTCAAAGCCGGTGGTGTTAGGAAGCACCGCTATGAATTCACACTTGCCACAGTTTTAGGCAGCTGGATTTTACAGAAAAAGAAATCTGGTTTCAAGGATCACGTCACCAAAGTATTGCAACTTTTCGAATTTACGTGTTCATCGCACGTAGTTTGAAGACACAGACACCGTGAAATCTACAGAAACGAAATGTCTGGAAAGTGTCGTTCCAGTGTAATAATAATTCTCAAATGCACGGGCTTATCTAGGTTTATCTGCACATCAGTCCTTACTCGTTTTATACAAATGTCTGACTAGAATCTTCTGACCAAGGGAATTCGTGGCGTTCAACAATTTCTGGGGAATGGCCAATTCTTTCCGAAACCTCCCCCACTAGATATGTACGATCATAACCTCTTATTTGAAGTCAATTTATTAACCCCTGTAATTTACTTCGCACTGCAATTAATTCATAAACATAAATTTATATTATCAGAAAGAAAACTTTTTAAAGCTATACACTGAACCCATGTTAGATCCCTTATGCAATTTTTGTTTAAACACACAGAATTTAATTGTGGGTTTACAAATATTATCAGAACAAACAACGATTATTTCTCTAAACAGCATTAGACAACTCATCTTTACAATGGATACGAGTTCTGTTATCTGTGATGCAGACACGACATTTTTAAAAATTATTTTGACAAACACCGTGCTTAAAATGGGTTTAAATAAGAATAAGAAACATAATCATTAAATCCGCAAGTCCACACGACATTAAAACTCGGAAGACCATCAACGACATATTTACTGTCGTCAAAACGTTATATCTCGCAAAGCTCACATTTGGATTTTATACGTCATTTTAGATGCATACATAACCCACGATAATTCCAGGTTGTCTTGGAAAGGAGCTAGGAAAATTCTAGTTAAATACGTACGGGAAGTCAGAGATTAAACATTCTTTGGGACTGCAAAGGGCAAACATGACCTACTCTTCTTTCAGACGTTTAAAACAATTGAGTCTCTCTGCGTTCTTCACACTTTTTGACCGGATATTCTTTGTGATACGTCAGTTATATTTTTGATTCGAAGCTGTGCGAACCGTTAGGATTTCTCACAGTCAATTTCAGATAAAAACTAAATAATAGTGCATTTAAGTTATTTAATCTGTAGTTTTGTTAAAACAGTGTTCAGTGTTAAAATTTGTGAATAGTTAATTAGAACAGCTATGGATATCATGGAACCTGACGTTGGCTGTTATTCAAGTACCGGTATGTAGTTTTCATTTAAATGTATTAATTAGTTTCTAGTTTATAAACGATGATAAATACGATTCTGTGTCTTACTTATTGTGTCGAGAGTTACTAGGAATACCAGGCCTTTCAATTGTTGATTACGGTGAAATTATATTAAACATTTTATTACGCAACTGAATTCTATTTCCGACGTTTAGATTGGTAGATAGGTTCTGACAGATGTTCAAATATGCATTAAGCATGATTTGTGACCAATAATGCACCAGTTATATAATAAATTCTGAGAGAAAATTGTATTAGGTTAAGGTTATGTTTGGCTTCTTCCCTGTGCTTCGTTGCGTCACATTAAAGCAGACACACATAGGTTTTTAGAACTTAACATAAATTAATTAAATTCCCGTGTGAATTGTATATTTTCTTCTGGCGATGATTATCTCAGGGGGAACAATTACTGTGACAGAACACAAACACTCATTCATAAAAACTTCTTGCACGTTAGGAATTTTTAAAAAAAAAGTCTATTTATATCTACCGAAGAAGTATCTGAAGTTCCTCCAAGAAAATATCCAGGTAATACGTAAAATTACGATAGACCGGTTTCTTCCATACATTTACCAATTTGTTATTCACTAATAATCTTATCATCCTAAGTGGCATGGTAAACTAAACTCGCACACAAACAAGTCTTCTGCATTGTTGTTAGTTTTCGCACTAGCATTGAAAAAAATATGGTCATGGCTTCCAAACACCGTAGCCCTAAGGCAATAATGCGGAATTTTCACTGTGGCACCGTCTTACAAGCCCAGAGTTGAATGTGCCATAAACAATGTTACTCTTAAAGGTGCGCGTTTTCATTTTGTAGTAGCCGTGTTAAGAACAAACCCGTGGATGAATATTGCCTCTTTAATAAAATTTACAAACCCCAGTTTTTTCAGAAGGTCACTGCCACGACACAATCATGTCTGTATTCTGATTATATTTAAATAAAATTTTTCTTACCGTGTATTGCATTTAAAGTTAGGTAAACTCTTTAACCAAATGTTCTCATTCCGAAGCAGATAGAATCAACAATCGGAACTAGAATAAAACATATTGCGATGCTATTGAGTTTCTGACAGATTTATACAACAATGTGCACTTTAAAATTGTCTGTGTCCTTAAACATTTCGTTTTAATTCTGTTTTACAAGGAATGAATCAGCATTACCTTTAAACAACACACTGTAAAGACGTGATGTTTGGTATAGACTTTGACATATTACTCTACTGCGTTCAAAGTTTTGTGTTACTCTTATTTTTCAATTGTTGCCTTATAACGATGTTAAATATACGCGTATTTCACTGGCCTGCCCATATACCGGGCATCTCATCGGCATGGCGCCTAAAATTGTCATGATGCCTTTTAGATTTTTTTGCGAGTTTGTATTTCTCGTCTTTTAAAGCAGATCACCTGTCAGATTGCAAGTGTCACTATCCACTTTAAACGGAATACAAATTACAACGAACTGAAAACGGGCATTCATAAGCATTACAAATGTTCGTTCCTTGAGTTCACAACCGCGAGGAAGAACACAGGAACTTCCATCCAGCTGACAAACTAATCTGCATATGTCGGAGTAGCTAAGTTCAAATGGGCTGTTTATGAATAATTATATGCAGAAATTAATATTATCATTTGTAGGATTTGAAGTTTTCACAGTGCTGATTCTGAAGAAAACTGTCTTCTGTGTTGTAGCGCCGTGTAATCTGGTAGATGTTTAGCGACGTTTCAGAGGTCCTTGCTGCCTCCATTGCCCTAATTATGGAGGCAGTAAAAACGTCGGTAAACTGCTATCAGAATACACGGCGCTACAACCCTGAAGACAGCCATCTTATAATATTATCATTATTTCACTGCAAGTTCCAGACTTTCAAGAACACCTTTTAGTCTCTCATTTCAGGTTGCACGAAGCTCTTGATGAGTGACTACCGTATTTATCACTCAAGTGACAATGCACTTTAAGCGGCTAAAAAAATAAATAAACACAGGAACGCAGCTGTTCTGCAAATTTACAAATATAATAACATAATTAAACTATATAATAAGGCCTATGTATGGCAAATATTTAACATACTGCATGAGACTGGGGTTAGGACCTTGAGAGGTCGGGAAGGAGACACAACTATCTGAGGAGTAGTTTCCCCCTTGATTATAATAAACACTATTTTCAATAGGCGAATCGCGAGGTTTAAAATGTTAATGCCAGTCTCCGTAGCCACGCGGTCTGAGGCATGGTTCTCGTTGCTGCGACCGTGGGTTCGAGTCCCACCCAAGGCATGGAAGTTTATCCGCGTCCTTTCTCTTCCAGTCTGGTTGACAAAGACTGGCCACGGAGGGCAAGGCGAAACCACCGTGGTATCTTCGTAAGACTAACCCCGTAATGGGGGTGGCGCAGGATTGTAGAATAAAAAAAAGTGTAAATTATTTCAATTAAGCCTGTAGATTAAAGATCGGAACTGAGCTAGCTCAGTCAGTACAGTGACTGACTGCGGACTGGACAACCGGGATTCGATCCCTGACAGGGGCAGGGGATTTTTCCTCTAGCCCCTGCGTCCAGACCGGCTCTAGGTCTACCCAGCCTCCTATCCAATGGGTATCGGGGTCCTTTCCCAGTGATAAAGGGCGGCCAAGGTGTGATGCTGATCACTCACCCCCATCTAGTGCTGACATCAAGAATGAATAGGAACTGTACCTACTCTTCCCCCCAAATGACCTACATGGTGTGTAGCAGGATTTCTTTTACTTTTACTTTGTTTTTTAATTATTATATATATTAGGTTTATGCAGCAAAGACGACTTCAAGACCATCAAACTTCTAGGAACAGGAGGTAAGTACAACTTCCTGTTAACAATCGGCCGATTACCCGTGCATTTCTCTGCTTACAAAACACGGACCTGATTTCTGCATCATTAATGCATCTATTAAGTAGGCAGAGAAGAAGATCAGCGTTTTAGAGCGTCCTTCCTAGCCCATGATCAAGTGCAATGCAACTTAATCGGCAGTGAAATAACAAGAAAGACGTGTCTGTGGCCTATTTTCTCTTCGTAATGTTAACGACATTCTAATTTCGCGTTCTGGTTTACACTGTATCGAAATACCGTAACATCGGAATTGATAAACACGAGAGGCAGTTCTTCTTATGCACAATGTCAATTTCCCTTTACTTTAACGAAATCAGAATTAGGGATCTTAAGAATTGTGTAGGCCATATTCTGCCGAACAAAATTCTTCTATTCATGAATGCTAAAAAACGTTAGAAGGTGGATCATTTACCAACTGCCAACATTTATTTGCGGAGACATTTAGAAACGCAAGGTTTCAAACAAGTTAGAATTAATCAAATTATGTTGACAGCTCGCGAATGGGTTCAAGGACCACTCCATGGAGATTCAACACATAAGCACTTTAACGATAAAAGTTGCAATCATGAAAACTCACAGACCTAAACGGTATTTCATCTTGTTTCTGTCACCACGCAGGACACAATAAAATCTAGTAATATCCTGTGAACAAGGGCTTGACCTATCAGAGAGTGCTTTAGAGCTTGTTAAAGAGAAGACGAACCACGTATTTATGAATTTTATATTCATCGCGAAGTTTTGGTATTGGAAAAAAAAAAGGGTAGAGTATCATAATTATTTGAAAGGAGACTTTGCTGATACGACAGCCCGTACCTGTACAGATATCACGATGAAACATGACTGAGATTCTGTTACAGGGTTTGGCGAAGTTTACCTGGCGAGGAAGAAGGACGGAAACGACGCCGGTAAACTTTACGCCATAAAGAACATGAAGACATCACTGAAGAGAAAGGACATCGACCACGCGTGGACGGAGCGTCGCGTGTTTGAGAAAACACGTGACTGTCCGTTCCTAGTGCAACTGCATTATGCCTTTCAGTCGAATGAACGCCTGCATCTCGTAATGGGTGAGTACATCAAACGAAAC